TCGCTTTTCGAGGATCGCCGTAAAAATAGCCTGGGACTCACAGGGAGGCTATCTTTACGGCACTCCGTAAAAATAGCCACTGCGTATAATTTTTGTCTATTCGGACTCGAATAGTCACTTCGATTAGTTCGTTATTGTAACCCTGACTTCCAGTTACTTCCATTCAGTTTCGATTTCACTTTGACTTTGGAGAGTGGAACTAAATTACACTCTGGACGACAACAAAACATTATAACAAAACTCAGGGCTAAGATCCATAGAATGCGCAACCAAACGGATCGCCAAAAAGCGCTGCGCGACCCGCTGATCAACAAAATGCACAACAATCGATGGATTGTCACGATTTTCCTCGATCAACCAAATGCGCTGCACGATTGACGGATCGCGCAAATCGACAGATCGCGCCCAACACATAATGTGCTGAGCCAGGGACCAGAACGAAGGCGAAGTGCCGAAATAGGCTTCGGGTGACATAAACCCGGCCCCGCAAGAGTGGGGCTAATCTTGGCCTAGGCCTACTTTACAACTTTACATCTAGATTCTAGATCACCTTTTCTTGTCCCGCACTGCTCTTCCAGCCTTGAGTTGTCACTTCAGCGAATTTAAAATAATTTTCAAGTTGTTCTATCTCCTCTTCAGAAGTACGAGATCTACCAACAACCTGGAAATGTATGTCTTTTTCATCCTGTTCAAGATCAAAAGACACTTTCTTCATGTCCATTATAAGTACAAATATCTGATCTCTATAGGCTAAATTTAGATTAGAAGTCCAGATTAATATCTTGATTCTATGACGGATTGACGTCCTTCACTCTCTACTTCGTCTTGCAATTCCTTTTCAAATGAAGGGGGCTTTCACCTTTTGAAAACTGATGATAGTGCAATGACACTGATACGACAGGCAGTCAACTACTAAACAGACGTCTAGGTCTAGAATCTTGATCGAGATGGAGACTAAACTCTCACCACAAACAATCTCTGAACGCCAATCAAAATGAAAAGCAAAAAGAAACGCATGCGAAAAAGAAAAGCCGAATACTATGATCAAGAGATTCTGTCTCGCTCTTTCTTCGACCTTAAAAAAATGGGACCTCAGTGGCTCCCAACCTCAGGTAGTTCAGAGTAAAAAGACTTACCTTTTGTTTATATCGTGTCCCACGAGGGGTGAAACTGAGTAATGGTCAGTAAGGAGCCTTTTGTCCGTCTTCCTCCCAACCTTGCTGAGTGGTGACTGTGTCTAATTTTGTAGCCTTATCAACAAGCGAGTCAACATACCCGGATGTTAGATCTAATCAAAATCGCCCTAAAAAATAGAAGAGCTCCTATAAATGTAATTTATGTTTTCTAGGAAAGAAAAGCTACATCTAGATCTATGATTGTCAACTGCTGAGACTACCATGAAATCGACTTACTGTCAACAACAGAACGCCCTACACTGACTGCTGCCCTCCTGCCTGCCTGCCCACTCACTCCTCACTTTCGTGTCCTGTGCCCTCTCTCAAAGTTGTGACAGTGAGCAACGCGCAACGTTCCAAGAGATGGAACTGAGCCGTATAAAACAGTTGATTTCATGAGCCATCGTAGATCTTGGTAGTGAGTGAGTCAAGCGACAGTCCCACGAACACAGAGTAGAGGCGGGAGATATATTCGATTGTGATGGCCATGGTTTTTAGAATTTAAAGTGTGGAGAGTGTAGGAGTAGAGGAAGTTTTTTACTTACTAACTAAACTTTACTTCTACGAACTTCTAACGGCTACGCTACGACACGGTAGGCCTACTGTGTTATGAGTCTTACGAAATACTACTTAGGCTAGACACTGTCAACATTGCACTGTAATTTAATTTGGGACTTTTGACACTTGTCACATCTGCTTTTTTTCTGGCTTTACGATGTAACTAATCTTTGACATTCCATGATTCCACTATCGTCATCCAATTTCTTCTCTTAGATTTCATCATTCATTTGCTAGCTCCAGTGTTGTATCCTGGCCAAGATCATGATGAAATCTCTTTACTCAAGATTCTAAAGCTAGCAGGATCTAGACTAAGACTTCTTGAGCCTTTTCTAAATCTACATTTTTAGATTTGTTCAATTTATTGACCAATCGTTCTGATGGCTATTATCCACCGTAGCCGTAGTAAGTAAAATATATAATATAAGAATATATCAAAATTAAGGAGGCATTGTATTGTAGACTAGAGTTTAAGGCAACTTTAAGTGCAGAGATGGTTCATTCCACTGTGAGCCTGTACACAAGACATCACAAGTTGTCATGTTTGAAAAGAAACCAGTGGGGTATTTGTGAACAGTGTAATAATACCCTGTTTTTAAAAAAAGAGATCATAAGGTATCTTTGCTTTTACTCATGCACTGGTGTTGGAGGTTGGTTAAAATTAAGGCCATTCTGCTGTATTTTTACCCAAAACATTTTTTAAAGTGTAGCAGAGCTTTTAATGGTTCAGTAAAGTAACTAAAACCAGTATGGGAACCTACTGAGATGGATGGAGTCTGCTTCTAAGTCAAAATGTATATTATTATATATATGTATATTTATAAAATATATTTATATATAGAATCTATACACAGGAATTCTCTGCTGACATTAACTTCAAGTGGTACAATATAATTTCTTTTGCGAAGTAGATATCATGGAGCCTTCTAAACATAGAAGTTGCAATGTGAAACTAGGGGGGAAAACTGACATTTGAAATTTTTTCATGGTACCTAATATACGGAATTTTGGGTTAACGGCTTCGTGTTACTTTACTAATTTAGACTTCTTGCAAAGCATTTTATAACAGTTCTTTTCCTGTGAAACGCTAGAGCTGGTCACAAAAAGGACAAGTGTCGCATAATTTCTCTTTTCTGTTTTTTACCAGCTCCACTAGTTTTAACACTAATACTAATAAACTAAGAATTTTCTAAATTTTCAGCGTTGTTGCTATTTGTTCTTCTGTCTGTTACAGCGGTTGGAGACCTGAAGACAAGAACGATGGTCAGCCGAATTTTGTACACAGCTTTTTCATGCTATTCTTCTAAAATGTTTCTTGCACATACGTTTCAATCTTCAAGACAATGGAGGAGTTTTGCCCCTTTCTTGACTGGAGCTAAGTTAAGTCATCGGAGGAAACACACAAAGCCGTCAATACCCCCTACACGGATAATGAGGTTGTACTCAATTCATGGAGCTATCACCGATGCTGGTTCTGCCAAAGAGTTTGTCTATGCTTTAGACAAAAATGAAAGGAGACATTTGTATGCTGAACTGGCTCGCTTTCACGGAGATGAAGCTCTCAGTAAGTATTCATGTTTCTCCGCTTTATGTAGTGGAATCTGGCACTCAGCACTTTTTGGCCATATGGAGTTGTTGATTATCTGAAAGTTTGTGTTTATTTGGCTTGCTTTTGGTGAAAAAAAATTACTCCTATCTTGAATAGAGGTTGAGATTTTATTATATTATTTTCAATTTAAGAAGGAGGAGGAGGTAGCCTGGTGTCAGAGAGGTAATTAATCAACATAAAGTTGTTGCTAAAGTCTTGTTTCCAAATCTTGATTGTGTGTGGAAAATTTTGGAAATTTCCATTTTTTTATTCCTTTGATCGACTTTTTTTTTCAGTAAAATCCGCTAACAAATGGGTTTTTAAGTATACAGTGTAAGACGAAATCGCAAGGGAGCCAGAAAAAAATTCCGTCTTAGACAGGGGAATTTAGGGGGAGATGGATGTTTGGGGGGGGGGGGGGTCAAAAGCCCAACCAGTGGGATCAAGGATCGCTTGTCCGATCGACAAGCAGTGGTCAAAATTTCACACCTCTCAGCTGCTATCCTCTCTGATAATGACATCATGCGTCAGTCTTACTTATCCAATTACCACCAGTGCTTGCCTGCCATAGGACCACTGTTTGAGCTATTAAAACAGGAACGTTTGAACATCTCCTTTGCCTCCACCCTTAGCTCCACCCATCGGTGTAACAAGCACAGTCAACCAATGCCACCCCTCACTGCCATCATGCAACAACGAGATTCGAGGAACTCTTTTCTTGGCTGGCATTGGTCAATCTAATTTCACACCTCTGGCTTCTGGCTACCCAAGAAAGTTTCTGTAATGGCTCGCAACTCGAGCACTGTCACGGGCAGCCATGAGATTTCACGCCCACACTACACTGACCATCTGCATCGCTCAGGGCTCACATGATGGGGTAACATTTACCCTCAAATTGCACCCCTTCTCCCCGTCCTCGCCCAGCAGCATAGTGTTAAGTTTAGAGCCATCCGAACAATACTTGCGAGTTTTGTTTCGAATCAGGGTTGAACGGACAAAGCATTTTCTGTCTTAGACAGGTAAAACCCTTGGAAGGGAGCGGATTTTTCTTTCCATTTCCGCGTTGGACAGGTTTCCGTTTTATACAGGTAATTAAAGAGGAATTTATCAACGGGGGAGCGGGGAGATTCCGTTAAGAAAGGTTTCCGTTTTACACAGGTTTCCGTTAAGGCAGGTTCGACTGTACATTTAAAAGTGCTGAGCCCCCCTAAAATTTTTTGGTAAAAATTGCTCAATGGATGGAAATTGTCTGTTTCTTCGATTTCATTATTTTTACAAGTGCCTGATTCCACGGTGTCGTGACTTATTGTTACCTTTTATTTAAGTGCCATACATGTATGTTCAGGATTAAGTTGCTACAGTTCTATTCTTTCTTGTCCTACCTTAATTTATGCCAGGCAACATGAGTCACAAAAGAAGCAAAGCTTTGATGTCCTTTTTTATTATGATAATAATTTAGCATTTCATTTATAATAGGACTAGAGCAAATCCACACTCTACAGCATGCACTCTGCACTTTACAACTCTATTATTACCCCAGCAGACCCTGAAACACTCAAAAAAATCCTGGGCTTGGCGTCTCGGTAAACATACAGAAGTGCATGTAGCCGATGAAGCGCTGAAACACTAACAAACTGACAAGAATCTTTTACTTTATGTAAATGCGTACCCAGTCGGACCTGGGTGACAAGGGGGTACAGTGCCTTTCCTAAGGACACAACATCAACATCAAGCCCTTGATGAGATTCAAACCCATGACATTTCAGTTCCAAGTTGGGGAGGGATGGGATGGGTGCTGCTCTTACAATTCTGATACATGATATAACTTTTGGAATGATAAATGTTGGAAGTTGAAATCCACCTAAAATTGTCTAAGACGGTCAGCCATTGTCAGGAGAAAAGTGACCATCTTTGACTGGTGGGCATCTTATATTATAGGGCCTACAGTGTCATCATAATGTAAAAAGATGTATACAGTGGAAACTGGTTAGTGGCTGTTTTTTATAGGCGATTGTCGTATGACTTATACATGTGGCCGTTTGAACAGGTTTGAATTCTTTTTGCTACTGATTTCTTTGAAGTCTTCATGAGACAGCTAGGAATCTTGTCCTTGACTAGAAATAAAAGCATGAGGCAAGTTGTTTGCAGTAAGTAAACTGTATTTGAAATTGTCAGTGTTTTACAGCCTCAACTTTCACTGAAATTAGATAACGTAGAAGGCGGGCCACTTAAACTAGGTTAAACTCAGTCTGTCTTGACCCCTCCGAGAATTTTACCCCCTATTTGAACTTTAAGGTGTAGATTGTGTTTTTTTGTTTTTGTTTTTAGTACGGATTTTACGGCACTTGCAGCACAGTTATGTTAATAGAGATGCCTAAATTAGAGGTGTTTTAAGAGGGTAACAAACACAATAAAGAAGGAGGGGAGATCAGGATGATAAATGTTTGACAGGAAGGAAACAACCTGAGTGAACCACACCAGAGCACTCACCAACCACCCACGTTGGCTGTGTTGTTGTGACTTGCATTTTGTTAGCATACACTGTCTTATTTATCTATAAATATGTGCTATAACAAAAAAGGAGTGGATGGTACTTGTACTCTGATGCTGTCCATTTGTAGTTTTTTTCATTTTTTGTATTCTATTTTACAGTCATCTGTCTAAAGTCATTTTCAGGTGAAATGTGATTGTCATCGTAAAAGTTCTGCAGGGGAGAAAATTGTGTTTTGTGCGAGAAATCATATGTATTGGTTAGCACCTCTTGCAACACTGCAAGGTTTAATAAATGATCCCCATAAGTCCAGCCTCTTATCTTATTGATCATTTATTTTAAATTTCTATCTCTGATAAGTCTGTGATCTCACTGACTTACCACAAACACATCACAGCTAAACAATAGTAAAAGATAACGTTGAAATGAAAATTAAATGGAGGTTTCCCTTTAAATCATCTTTAACATCTGCGCACCTTGTCTGACACTTAATGTCCTACATTTCTGAAATGTGAATTACATTTTATACGTTCATGTTATATTATGTTATTATTATTATTTAAAACATGAGACACGACTTATTTTTAGTTTCAGTTTGGTAAAAATGTTACATGTTCTGCGTTCGCAACTGCATAAGATTATTTGGCTAAGGTCATGTGAGCGCACGGACTTACGTTGATACTGCATTTTTATTTAGTATTACATGTTACTTAGTCGTCTGTTTGCTGAGATGTTGTATGCCTCTCAGCCAGGGGTGGCCCTGTCCACATAACAGTAATCAGTTAACTAAAATATTTCTATTGAAGGCGTAAAGTGCTTACAACGGGGGG